TGGCACACAGGCACACCAATGGACATGCTACATACACCTCTGCACATCTCAGCACCGCCAAAATGCACTAAAAATTTATGACCTTAACATTCCTGCAGGGTCAAGCAATTTATCAAATGCTGCACATTCTGGTTTCAATTACACAGCCGATTGTGGAGAGAGGTTATTTTAGCAGGTTCATTTGGCCCAGTAGGGGAGGTCGACTCTTTTTGCTTAACGCACCATCCGCTGAACACAACTGGGCATTACTTTCTGCACAGACACGCCTCTCTCTAACTGCTACACATGGCAACAGAGAAGAAGTCAGGATGCAAGTAAGTGAGCAGATGAGCTGCGGGTGTTATCACACAACTGTCTTTCTCAATTTCTTTTTCCCTCGTCTTCTGGCTTCGTCCTTCTTACAGATCTTTTCCAGTGGCAAACACAGTCTATCATTCTACATGCTTGTTCCTTCATCCATCTGAAGCTTTACAATGATGAAGAGTCTTCCATCCCTCTGTCTATTCATTTGTCTCCCACGTCACCCTTCTCTATCTGACTTTCTTGATCTCTTCGTCCCTTTCTCTGCCTCACACCCTTTCCCTCCACATCTCTCCTCTCTCTCTGTGGTAGAGTGGTGATAAATCCCTATTTTATTGCTCAAGAATTCCTCTCTCCCTGCAGGGCTGACAGCTCCCCACGTTCTAAGACACTGCTAGGACCAAACCCAATCCTCCCTCCCTGCATCACTCCATCTCTGCCTCCATCTGGCCCTGATTACCGAAAGAGTGGAATGGTGGTGAGGCAGAGTGGGGGAGAGACTGGAGGAAGGCATCACAACATTGCACCCTAGGATGAGGAAAGAAAGAGAGGAAGGAGGTATGTTGTGAGTGGATGATGCACAACACGTTGGTATGAAGGAGGAAAACGAGAATGACACGAGAGGTCTTTGTAGTGTGTAGATGAAGAGGAAAACGGAAAAGAGCAATAGAGAATTTCCGAAGGAATGATTACATTTTATTGTTGATTTAAAAATTTTTTTAAAAATATATATTTTTCAGGTTCAAGAAAAATCAAGTGCAAAAGATGAGATATTGTAGCATTGTGTTGCAAGCAGCTAAATTTAAAGAGGGAGGGGAAAAATACCCACTCTCCAAATAACAAAATGTGACACTGTGGGGTAGGGAAGCTGTTAAGGGAGTAACAATGCATGCAAAATAATGTCATGCTCTTAGTGTTACTATAAAGCTAGAAAGAAATCAGCAAAGTCAAAAGACACATTTAAATGAATGTGAGAAGGAGATGCACAAATCAAAGTAATGGAAATAAAGATTAAGAGAAAACTGCAGAGAACAAAGAACAACAGGTAAGAGTCACAGTCAACAAGTGTCAGGAAAAATTTAGTTAAATCTCCAAGCAGAACAAACACCCTAAGTGTTCATTGGAAATATTGAATACACAACATAAAGCCCCGAGGAGATACAATAAAGAATATTATACTGTGTTGAAATTTGGTGCTTTACCTGCATGAATGCTTTAAACCTAAAGTTGTAAAATCTCACATCAAAGACTGTTAAAAACACACAAAGAGTACTATATAGAAAAAATGCATTTAGATTGAACTTGTGATCCTTTGAGTTTAAATATTGTGTTCACAGTGGCAGGGTGAATATTTTTAAGTTTCCAAAAATAGCAGAGAACACCACTGATAGAGCGGTTGAGTCCTGCAAATGTAATTGAAAAGTGATAATGACCGCCATTTGGTTGGAAAGAGGCTAAATGTAGAGGAGATTTTGGAAGACTGTGTGTGTGTGTGTGTCCTGGCAGGCTGACTCAATGCAGCAGGTGCCAGAGGAGTGTGTAATAAACACAACTGCTTTGGACAAGCTGGCCTCTCACATCAAATAATGTGTTTTGGCGATGTCCACCTCAGCTGTTCACACAATCAACACTCAGCAGGCTCTTAAGACAACACAAGTAATTAATATTACAGTTTTTCACCCAAGCATAAAGGACTAGTATTGGTTTAGTTATGGCTCATTTATGAATCTGGGGTTCTGGAAAGTAAAGCGCCTGCTAACTAACGTGTCAATTCTGTAATTCAATATTGTTTAGACTTAAGAAAATTACACAAATACTGGATATATTGTATGTTTATACATTTTTAGGAAGTATCCACTAATATCCACACGTCTGTAAAGACAGTAGGTTCCAGGTTGAGGGTACATGAAGTTTTCTCATTAATTATATTATGAATGTTTATACCACACATCTTAATAATTTCTTTATTTTAGGGTATTATCAGTCTTTATTTACCTTTAATTACACAATCTCAGTATGACAGATATTATGCTTTTTAGCTTTTTTACACAGCACCTTGTTTTCCTCTACAAGTAACTCAGCAAACATTAAAGGAAATCCACTAGACACTCTTGACTAAGCTTTAAGCTTCATGTTAGATTATGACTCACCCCCCCCCAACACACCCCCACCCCACTTGCTCTCAAACCACCTCCACCAAAATAATCAGGATAATTTCTATTCATTATTACACCTCCATTTATCTGCGAGACGAGACGTGGGGAGGACGGGGTATAACTCTGAGGAATAACAATACCATTAAAAAGCCTGTGCGGCAAATATCAATCATTGTTGCCGTTAATGTCCCTCCAGCCTATTCAGATGGCCTCTCTCTTTTCCTAATGTCCACCCATCTGTGTGTGTGTGTGTGTGTGCGCCTGTGCCTAAGTGTGTAAGTGAACAAGTGTGTGCGTGTTATATTCAAAGCCCTTTAATCAACAATCGCTGCATCTGGGCCAGATAATGAATGGAATTGTTTATAACCTCACTCCTGTATCTGGTGATAAATGCATACACGCCTAATGCTATCATTTGAATAAGAAATGAGATTGTGCTTTATTTCAATATCGAGAAGAGATTGCGTTAATATAAATTTCTTGGTAAAGTTGTGATGATGGTGTTGATCATGATGTTCCATTGTCAACCAGCCAAAGGATTAAGCTATGGCAATAAAACTGCAAAGATCCAAAATGAAGATATGAAGCAATTGCTTTTGATTTATGGCCTGTGACAACAGGATAGATAAACAGGAAGGGTTAGAAGCAGAGAAAAAAATCCACTGAAGTGAAAAATAGCCAGACATTTACAAAAAAAATTGAACATGTAAAATGCTCTATGAGCATTACTCAAAGTGGAAAAACAGGATTCTGTAAATCCACTAAAAAAATCTTCCATCACATGGGCACTAATGTTTGTGCAAAAGTTTTTGTTGTGTTTATTTTTTCACTCTGACACATAGCAAAATTGCATAACTTTGGATACACTGTGGATTTCACACTTGTAAAGTGGTCGAAGGAAAGCAAACCTACTTCAAACGTCGTCAAAATTACATACGAGGTGTTATGACGATAACGGTTTGGATGAAATATCACACGTGCTGATGGGTAAATGGACAGCAAAAGTTCAGCATCACTCAATCCAAACTCATTTAAATCACCACAAAAGTCACGCTGCAAAGAGTTTGACAAAATCATATAATATACTGTATCATTTATTAAAATTACATCCATGAATAGAGATTAAATTAGGTGCAGACAGTAGTTATATACTGCAACTGAATCAGAAACAGTACAATGTTCAGACACAAAAAAATAAATTTGAAAAAGTGACACAAATTCACAAAATGTGTTCATTTTCATAAATGTTTGCATGATAAAATTTAAAAATAAAAGAATACTGTATTATAGCAAAAGTACTGTGCAGACGTTTTTCTGGCACTATTTCCTCAGTGACATTATCCCACTGGAATAGCAGTGGCGTAGTGTTACAACCCCGCGTGCTGCCACAGTGGAATACAGATAGAGAGCAGCTCAGCGTTTGCTACCGGGGGATTTTAGCTGTCCAAATCTTTGACAGTTTCTTAGCAGCTCTCGGCCCTAAACTGTGAAAGATTCCAAAGACAGATAGAACCCCCGCCCCACACCCTCCACCAACCTCCACACCCCCACCATATCAGCCAGTATCATTGATAAAGACAGCCTTTCAGGGATGACACTGATAGCTGCTCCAAAACCATTCGAAAAGTGATTTGCCTGCCATTTTAGCTGCTGCTGCCCTCTTTATGATGCACACGTGTCCAGGAAGACAACGAGTCTGCTTTTACAGAAGGAATTAGGAAGGACCTTAAAAGGTTGCAAATAGGTAGTCACATTTTCAACAATTTCTATACATGACATATTGCATGCAATTAACCTTTATATTATTAAGCTTTGAATTTGTTGTAGTGGCTCAATTTAAAAGTAATTTCATTTTCAACAAAATACACTTATTATAGCGTCATGTTGATTTAAGATGCACGTGAGCATCTCAAGAATTACTGCATTCGCCTGTTCAGTCCTGGTTGCAGAAATTCTTCACAAAGCTTTTAGATGATATGGCATAAAGGACCTGCTCTATGTTGTTAGCCAATCGGGGTGCAGTGTTGTGAGGACGTACAATGTGCCTTTGCGAAAAAACTGAAACCGTTTTTTTATACAAAGAAAATAAGACCTTATGTAAAATACAATTTAAAACATATTTAATACCTCAGTTTTTCACCAAAGCGAGGTTTAAACATTCAATCAGCTGTTAATTTGAAAAAGGCACTTTTAGGAGCAAAATTTAAAAGACATTTTTTTCAAAAACTATAAAAAATGCTTGATGATAATTAAATTACTGCATTCAAAGGCCAACTCTGGCAATCAGATATGTAGACGCTGTCCTTATTTCTTTGCTCCTGCATCCCTTCACCCCTCCTCAGGCCTTCATCCCCATCTTCAGTCCAAATGAATGACGCCAGCTGGGGTCGGCCGGCTGATGCTGGGCCCTGTTAGGTGGCACTGACAGCTGAATTATCCCACAGGCCACGGTGGCTGATTATCAGCGGAGAAGTCATCAGGGCATCCCAGCCTTGCCTCCAACCCCCAATCCCCCCACATCCTCTTCCCCACACCCCTGTCACCCCTTGTCAAGAGAGCAACGCTTTCTCCAAGCTCACTGTCCAGGTCCTCTTGACAGGTAATCTCAACAATAACAATTACCACCATTACTGGTGTCATAAACAAGTGGCCAACCCCAAGCCAGGCAATAACAAAGGCTTTATAATTCACCATGCAAGGCCTTATAAATACATGTCAACAGGTAAGAAGTGTGAAGTAGAGAAAATGAGTATTGGTGCTCTCAGGCACTGAAGTAAAACTGTGTATTTGAGTATGCTGGTTGAGAGGAGCGTTGTTGGTAAAAGCTGAGGATACAGCAGGAAACTGAAATCAAAGCTGCAGACAGATGTAAATATAATCACATGAGGAAAAGGGATTTGAGATTTTGAATACATTTTATTAGGTGCAAGTCAGATTTATTTATTTACTTACATGTTTAAATGTAGCCAGAAGTGCAGTGAAGCAGTTTTGTCTGATTTTCCTATCGATGAAGCCATTTTATCTGAGAATAGCATTGACTTTATTATTGATTTAGCAATAGAGGCAATATTTCACTGTAAATCTTGGATTATCAGAGAGAAAAGAAGAAAATCTAATTCATCAAATAAAATATCTTCCCGTCTTACATATTGACAACCAAGCAAACAAATCCCAAACAGAGGCATTATATTTTATTTTTAATGAACTCAATTTGATTTAAGAAATAAGTGATGTGAAATTAAGTGAAACATCACTGTGTTTCGATAATTTAAAATGTATACTTCTACCAATAAAGTATATTTCCAGCTTTATTTAATACAGTTGCAAATTCTCTTTAAAATTTTTATTAATTTTTTTTAAGATATCCTTTTTCCTCTATGCATGCTCTCTTGTTATATATATATATATATATATATATATATATCAGATTATTCTACCCAAGCGATTCGAGCCTTACCATTTGAAGTTTGGGCCAGCTTGCTTCCTTTCCTCAGCAAAGCAAACAAGGCGCTGTGGCCCGGAGCGCTAAAATAATTTGAGACTCCCTGATGAGGAGAGCTGAGCAGCAATTAACACGTGTCAAAGTCGACATCATCAGGTGCCACTCTCATTTTCTTCCCAAGACTCAATGGATTTTTCCCCACTTCTCATCCCGTTTCCTCTTGTTTATTCACCCCCGAAGGCGACGGTGGAAAAAGAGGTTTCCATTTCTGATGCGGCTGGACTCTGGCGCTTTTTACGATCACTAGTTAACGCCGTCGAGATCGTCGCGCTGATGTCTCGCTTCGTCCTTTATTCGTTTTTCTTTTCTTCCTTCCTTTTTTTTTCAAGCGGCAATCAGATCAGACAGGCCAGTAATTCCTGCAGGAGCGATACTCCGAGCAAAGAAACAGAGAAGAGGAGAGGAGAGCAGGGACTGCACCGTAACGTTAATGCTGATGTGAATTCTGCATAGTTTTTTTTTTAAATCAACACTTAAATGTTCAGTTTGGTAACAAGTGAATTAGATAATTTTATATAGCGCTAAAAGACGCTTTAAACGAAGTGATTTTTTTTATTTACTTTCCCGTTAACATAATAATAATTTTAAAAAATTAATGCACAATTGTAAATAAAATCTATGATAAAAGGAAATAACGTTACTGAAAAGTCTCCCCAGAAAACAGATCTGATCATTAGATAAACAGAAATATCAGACATTATTTACTTGCATTCCAAAATATTCATTTATTTAATAAAGGCTACTACAAAATACATGGCTTATTTATTAATTCAAGCATAATTTCAGGATAAATTAAAAGTTTGGCACTAAAATATATAATAAAAACAAAATGCATGTGAATCAGTAACTGAAACATACTTGATAACACTGAAATAAATATAAATTGCATTTAGCAACATTATTTCCAGTAACAAGCATCTTTCCTTAATTAATAACAAATACACTTTATTCCTGAATGAAAACAGGTCATTTCATTTAAATACTGCCCATACACCATTATTAACTAGGGGTGTGGTGAGTTTAAATTTCTAAATGAAGTATCAAAACAAATTAATATCAATTTTTCTATTATTAAAGACAACTTTGAGCACAATTAGAGGACACACATTGCATCTCTCTGGAGCACAATTTCATTTTTAACTGTCATTATTTATGACAGTTAAAATTCTGGAAAGTCTGGATGTAAACCACAGATGTGTTTAATCTCCAGCTAATTCAACCCACAATGTCAATGTGCTTGCAAAGATGAAGAAAAGGAAAAAATGAGAAATCCAGAAACTAAAATACATCAACAGCAGCATCATGTGGCAACACAACCTCATTTCTAAGGGTTTAAGTTAACCAGTTTTTCTCTGCCCTTGTGGATGCGGATGGAAGAAAAGGGAAGAAGAAAAGGAGGAGGAGGCGTTTTTGTTGCTATTCTTCTGACCTGAGCTGCTCATCTTCCTCAGAGCTCAGCGGGAGCTCGGCCAGCACTTGCCTTGCCTACCCAGGGTCCTTTTGGTGTGTGCATATCATTAGCATACATTTCTTCCAAGCTGACGAGGCCTCGCTCTCATTAAAGCTTCATCTCACAAATTCCCTCCCAGAATCCTGCTGGTCCTTGCCGCCATGAATCCGTACCTGTGGTGGTGGTGGCTGCTGATGATGGCATGCTGTTGTCCAAAATCAACCAGATGAGGGTGAGAAGATTGGGAGGGAAGGGGAGGGGGGCAGAGGGAAAAAAGACGGGATGTATTGGGAGAAAGGGCAACAGTGTCTGTGGAGTGAAAACAAAAGAGAAAGCAAAGGAGAGGAAGAAAAAACTGAAGTCAAGTGAGAGAGCAGATAAATGAGTCCTCTGTGTGCACTAATGCTCTCTCACCCCCTCTCTCTCTCTCTCTCTCTCTCTCTCTGTTCCCCACTCTCTCTGTGTTTCTCTCTCTCTTTCTGACTCTTGCACCAGGCTCCATTTTGTGTTAAGCAGCTCCCTCTCTCATGACAGATCTCTGGTAGGGTCATGGGCCAAAGTTGAGGATAGGGTCAGTTGTAACACAGCTTGTAAGGGAACTCTGCAAACTCTTCATCTCTCCCCCCTCACAAATATCTCTTCTATCACTCTGTCCCCCTCGGCCAAAAAGTGCTTTGCAAGCTCCAGGTTGATGAACTACTGCATCTTTAAAGTAAAAATGATAAGCATATGGTGAAGAAAGCCCATGAAAAAATGAGCATTTAGATTTGTTCCTTTTTTTTAAAAGACTAAACAACAGGAAGGAGCTGGAGGAGTGGGGTATATCACTGCAGGTGAGATCCAAGATGTCCACTTTGACTAATAGAGAAGTTGCTTATTAGATGCCAAAACACTGTACTCTGGTTTATAACTCCACGAGGACAGATTTTACAACTGTAGGAAATTATAGCAGTGACAATTTTTTAAATGAGCGTGAGGTAAGCAGAAATCCAGTGCACACATTAAATAGGAATCTTGCAGGAATGTGTGCTACTTGAGATTAATTTCCTCACCAGACAACTATGTATCCCCCCCCCAGGACACCTGGGCTTTGACACCAAAAATGCATCAATAGAGTGGTCACACAAGTTTAAACAATGTGTACTTCTGAGTACATCTACTTATTGTTTCAGTACTTTTTTCCTTTCCTATCCATGTAAGCTCCAACCACATTTATGAGGGTGCAACTTCAGAATGTATACAGATTTCTAGCAAACTTTTTCTCAAGTATTATATATGTTAAAAATGTAAAGCATGGATTAATTTACCTTTGCTTCAAAATGGTTATTGGTAGCCATGCTCACGATCAAGTAATGAAGATATTGCACATCACTAGTGCAACAGTGTGGTTCACTGATGTGCTTTCCTTTCCTTGTTTTTAAAAACTAAACATTCAGTCATACGCCGTAAAAGCTTGCATCCACTCATGAAACAGACGAGTGGAGGGAAGATATTATGAAGAGGAAACCATGGCACACCAAAGGAATTTATAGACATTCTGCATGTATGCAGAGCCCATACATGCAAGGACTCGCACTCACACGCAAATGAACCACACATATAACACAAATACACGGACAAACCGCATCAGTCAAACCTCCATACCGCTAAACACTAGTGGAGAGCGGAAAACAGAGAAAGAGCGCGAGAGAGGGAAAAAATGATGAAGTCGGACTTGAACATCAAACAATAAACAGTCCATTAAGTCTGTGGGTGAAAGGGTTGGGGGAGCAGGGAGTGGGAAGGCAGATATTGGGGAGGTGGGGGGAGAGGAATGATGGGAGTTTATTTAAAGCATGGTGACCCCATGGCCGAAGGCTGCCTCGGTACAGGGATGAATAAAACTTTAATGGCTCATAAAACACAGCGACCCCTTCTCTGAGCCCAGCTTCACATCGTTTATTCCTCCTGGAACAACCAATCAGAATCTGTGAATCTCCAAACACAAAAAAGGGCGAGAGAGGAAAACAAGAGTAGAGTTAAATAAATAGTTCTGAAACTTCAGTTTAAATTCTTGGAGCGAGAGTCATGACTAATTAAGACAAATCTCACTTGTCCTGTACATTTACCGAAGAGAACAAAACACATTTTGAGACTGCAAATCGGGATACAGGGTGGGTTGCCAAAAATAGTCAAAGAGCGTAATGTTAGAGTTGGTGCTTGGACAGTAAATTAAAGACTGTGTTGTGGCTAAACAAATAAGGTACGAGGCTTAAATTAGTGAACTTCAGAGGTGTTGGACTGCCATGCTTTTGAACAACTAGAACAGAGCCAGGCTAGTTGATTCGGTGTACTTTAAGTCTTCATTACTTTGTGATTGTTATATGGAGCTGGAGCTGCATAACTAAACCATATGCAGGAGATTGACAGCATTCTTCTAATATTACTCTGAGGGAGAATGCTTAAAGACCAGCACTTTCCAAAAAATACATGGACTCAGATGAGAGGCACAGGAAAGGTAGTTGAGAAAGAAGCAGAAAGAGCAAATTTATAGGTAAAAGAAAGACATTTATCAACAGAATGCTCTGACAATGCAGAAATGAAATGTAAAAAAGAAAGAAATTGAAGGCATTTATTTTGTCAAGTAGAGCTTGACAGAGACATGCAAATCACACAAACACATGGCCACAACCTTTTTATCACCACACTGCAAAGGTACAAACTATCATCAGCAGTTTAATCCAACCCATGTGAACTTCACTTATTGCCAAGGACCATTTGCCTCTTTGGAAATGGGCCCGTGACAATCTGAAGCTGAAGTGTCAATCCTCGCCACCCACACCCCTGGGCTTTGGGTTCTGTAAACATGCAGCTGTCACCTTATTTAACGCTCTGCAATTTCTTACCCTCCACTTCACTCAATCTGCACTAGTCTGACTCCAGGAGTCATTCTGTTGATGTGTTGACGTGCGGTAATTTGCATTTCTTAGTTGCCACTTTTCCCAGGATCACTCCTATTTGTTGCTTTAATTAGCAACAGCCATTGCACTGAATTTTTTGTTTAACTTGACCACTAAATACATTTACTTTACATGCATGTCAAAGCATATAGAATTATTAACATTTGATTTTAGTCAGAATGCAACAAAAGGTTAACTACACTTTAAAATAAATAATCTGTGCTGCAGACACGGGACCCAAAAAGTGCAGGCATGCCCCTATGTGACCATATTGGATAAAAACACATAATGTGTGTCTGTATATATTTGTGTGCACTACGGTCTGTGACCCTCCAAAGCCCTTTCCTCCCCTACTTGTTCAGCCCAGTGGGTGTCATTTTCAGGTCATGAGACTGTAAATATACATAGTTAGACCCCACAGCCATAAATCAGAGTGAACAGCCTGAACTCCTACACGGACAGATAACATGAGCCAGACGTGATCTGCCTGCTTTAATAAATAATAATAGCACATATTCACATCTTACAGTAAGATAGGAGTAAAGAGTATATCAATTAAACTGACTACTATCACACCCACACACATCATCACACAGTGTAATATAATGTACAATACTCCTATTTTAACTGCAACTATTCACCATCTTTAAAACCTAATATTACTATATATTACCATACAGTAAATGCTACAAACTATACCATTTATATAGTGATTAAGCAAACTTTTATATATTTAATTAACTACAATTTGCTTGTTTTTATAAAAATATGTTTTTTTATAAATTAATTGGACTTAAACTGGATTCTAGATACACATTTAAGTCCACAAAACAGATAAAGAACGAAAAGGTGGAACTGTTAATATCACTGTAATCCCAAGGACTGCATCCATATAAGTGTTTTTGACACATATGGATATTCACTCCTACGCTGGATGTGTCCGAATGGATGGAGTTTTAGTTACTTATATGGTCACTATTTTCAACCAGATTTCAACAACAACAAGAATTTGGTGGAGTGATGATCTGGAATATTGTAAAGTGATAAGATGACAGATTTTTAAGGATACTTGCAGGTGAAAAAGGACATGCAGGACAATACACCAACCCATGGACTGCTTTGTAGACATGAGAACAAAACCATAAAATAAATATTCCTAAATTCAAAATTGGAAAATCTGTGAAGGTAGAGGTTTTACTGGTGCCAATGCTTGTACATCACCTGCACCACCTGCACTACTGTGCTACAGAGTCTATTAATTAAAATGATATTGTGTCTTCTATTTATAACACTATTAGTGGCATTGTTGCTTGTGTTTTGAACTTGTCTACAGTGCATCACTATAGATCATGCAGCATAGCAGTCACACATGCCAAAACTCATTAGCACAGTGGAACGATGGAGGAAATAAGTTGAATCTTTTTATAAAGTTACTTTTCATGCAGAAAGACAGCTCTGCGACTGAACTTGCTCATTTTAATTACTGCTTTGTTTATAATTATCATTACCCATAGGCTAATGCATATTGACTTATGCTATGGCAATGTATGTTGAGCGTCTCCAAAAGTTGATTCTGTTCATCTGGACGTAGCGTTTTGTGGGAGAAACGTTTTGTTACTCATCCAAGTGACTTCTTCAGTCTCAGCTGACTGCAAGTTTCCCCAATCTTATAAACAGCACATTTGCATAATGACTGAAACCAGCCTGTCAGTCCAAGAAGGCTAACCTGCCACTTTCATATCCTCCCTGGTGAATTTGATGTGTTGGTCCACCAAATTAATGTAATCCGTGAATTGTGGTACATCCTGAGATTTGATTTTCACCCAGGTGTCATCCACATATCTGAACCAATGGCTTGGTGGTCTTATCTTATCTTGTCTCTTCTCAACAAAATCCAGGGTGTTGTGGATGTGGTGTTCAGAGCTACCCACCAGCGGGTTGAGGATCAAAGCCAGAAACTTGGAGATGTTATAGGTAACAGAGTTGATCATGAAGACAATCGGTCTTAAACGTGCACCCTGTTTATGTATTTTCGGTAAACCATACAGACTTGGTGTAGACTCCCCTGGGTACAGCCTGTGGTACATCTTTCGCCATCTTACAATGCTGTGTTTGCAGGCATTCCCCAACTCTCTGTGAATGGTACTCATGGCCATTGATCAGTGGGTTTTGGTCAGTGGTTAATGATCAATGGTCATGAGAATTTGCATAATTAAGACTAAAGAACTGACCTCCCAGCCCATTGTTCCTTCAGCAGGCTGGTTTCAGTCATTATGCAAATGTACTGTTTATAAGATTGGGGAAACTTGCAGTCAGCTGAGACTGAAGAAGTCACTTGAATGAGTGACGAAACGTTTCTCCCACAAAACGCTACGTCCAGATGAACAGAATCAACTTTTGGAGACTCTCAACATACATTGCCATAGCATAAGTCAATATGCATTAGCCTATGGGTAATGATAATTATAAACAAAGCAGTAATTAAAATGAGCAAGTTCAGTCGCAGAGCTGTCTTTCTGCATGAAAAGTAACTTTATAAAAAGATTCAACTTATTTCCTCCATCGTTCCACTGTGCTAATGAGTTTTGGCATGTGTGACTGCTATGCTGCATGATCTATAGTGATGCACTGTAGATCAAGAAGCTTAGTCTGGAAATTATTTTGATTCATTGTTAGAGCCTTGACAAGTTCAAAACACAAGTTTCTCCCACAAAACACTACGTCCAGATGAACAGGATCAACTTTTGGAGATTTCCTTTCCTGGATGATTGAGAATGCATCAAGACGTATGTTGAGAGTATTTTGAAGTCGTTAGAATAAAGTAAAACTGCCTTTACTGGTGCCAAGATAGACTGCCTGTATATTGGACCTGGAGTCAATATATTTCCTGGTCATTAAAGGGGGTCCAATAAATTGAGAGGATATTCACCCCAAAAGATACGAAACACACTCTGTGTCTACAATGACGATAATACGCACGGTAGCCACAGTAACTGAATACTGATGATTGTGTGTATGCAAAGTCGTAAAGCAAAAGTTACTTGCCAAAGCTTGTCATTAATGCCAGGTGTCAAGTGAGATAACTGTTAAGTTTTAAACAGAGCTTTAAAATTGCACTTCTTTCAGTCTACCAAATTTCAGAGAGGTTTTATGACCAAGAAGGTATTCAAGCTTCGCTTCGAGGCAACTGGCCTCTTAAAACATACTTCTTGTAAAAAACTGAGCCAACACCTTTTCCTCTCTCAAAGGCTAGAAACATTAAGACGGTAGGCATTCTTTGTCATAATTATCGACAATAAAAGTTTACTGAATAGACTCTAAAACCTGTTTGGTGGTTTTCATTGTAATTAAGAGCAGAACATTCACAGTGTGCAAAACAATATGAAGCTACTGAGGTTTCTTCTCTGCACAGGAAGCATGAAAAAAGTGAATGCTTTATAAAAAAAGAAACAAATACTTTAAAGATATATTTCCCCATAAATACAACTACCGTTGTTCACTATGATCTACTATTACTGACTAAATTTGGAAAAGACTTGGGTTTTAAATTCCTAGTTAATCTGAAGGTACAAATTTGAATGTAGCTGGTTTTAGCAGAGCAGAACTTTTCATCCCTTAATGAAACCAGCCAGCAATATATGCAACTACAGAAAAATAGCATGTGTTCTCCCACTTCGTTTTAAACCAATAAATAAAAGTTAAGTAAATCTAAGGCTCTAGCATAGCCGGTATTATCTGCTATTACAGTTAAATTAGTGTCAACTCCTATCCAGAAAATCATCGACTCAGTCATCCAGACGTTAATGATAACGAGTGAGTTCTACTTGACCTCATCAGGATCAGTCACTACATGGAGTTCCCATTACTATATTAAACAAAATAAAATCATTATGTCATCTATAATGGTGATGCTGTAGGTCAAAGGTGTAAAAGTAGAGTATGAAATGAACGCATTTTTTGTTCAACACCCTGGCAACAGTTAGGACAAAATATGTCAAAAATCTAAACTTTACATCATCGCATGATATCAGGGGGCAGTTAGCTTGAACTGTGCTACATTTACATCATTCCGTCTGTGATCTCTGAGGCGGTAAATGTTTGTCCAGGCATTAACACATCATCAAAGTGTCTGAAATCCTAGGGGGTTTGATCCTCCGGATCTCTGGAGGGTCCGTGGACACAAAGTCTACAATTATCTCTCTGTTATGTCAAGTATGCTTGAGCCAAAAATTGCTTGCCTTGGATTGTTCAGAGCTATCAGGTTCCCATGTGAAAACACAAGTACATGACATCACTGAGTCACTTAGCTAGCTATAGCTACCTCACACACACACAACTCACACGCACACACTAATCCCTAGTCTTAAGCATTTGACCTACAAAGACCATATGGCTGACTGTTTCTCCACTGACTTCCATTATTGAACAAAGCAAGGGAAGTATGGTAAAGGGAATGCCCTTGTCACCATATTGGTGTTATGGCAATCTGAACATGTCTTTAAACTATTTTGGAGGATTTTAAGAGGAAAACATTTGATATTCATTAAAGAAACCAGAGGTAAGCTTTCTTTTCTCTGAGCGAATTTCATAAAAAATAAAAAAAAATAAAAAAACAATATAATACGCAATATGCCAAAATCTATTAGAACAAAAAGACATTTCATGTATGGAAAGTCTGTATATACTCTATAAAATCCCTCGATTGACTTGTGGTAAACTATATAAAAGAGGGTAGATAACTGCTGATTTTAGCTGGAATGTGACATTTGCATACTCATAGTTTAAAAAAAACTTGCCAGCTGAGACAAAGAGAAAGAAACTGTTAAAAGCATCTTTTAAGAAAAGTAAAGTAAGTATTAAGTAGTAAAATACTCACAGTAACATATTAGATTAAGAAAGTTAAAGTTTCATTCTTCGGTACGTGAATACATGTTTATTACTTTGAAAATTTATTTTTGTATTGTCCCAACAAAGACAAACTTTGTACAACTATAACATTTTTGTTGGCATCACTAAAACTGGGCTTATTAAACCAGCTTTTTTGTCAACTATTAACTGATTTTAAGTAGAAAGAATTCAAATACTGAAAAAATGCTCCATATAACAATTTTAAGCTTTATCCTGCCTTAATTATCCTAAATCTCAAAAGAATTTAATTTTCAATCAAAACCAAAGCTACACAGAGCAGCTACACATTAAATATCAAAAAGCTATACAGCAAGTGAAGTGAAAGTAACAGCGTATAACCCCTTCTGCCCCAGACAAAAGACATTATTGTTTCTAACATTTCTTTCACTCTGCCGACCCCATACATAAATAAATAATTTAAAAAATGTATAGATAATTTAATAAAATAACAATGGCTTTGTGATAATCACAAAGCAGGAGTTCAGTATTCTTTCACCTATTGGTTAAAAGTACCAGGTACATTCATAAGTTTCCACACTACTGATGCAATTAGCAAAACATCTTTTCATAAAGTGAGGACAGGTGAGAACAGGAGAGGAGGCAGAATGAGGCAGGAAGTTCAAGTTAAGTCATTCTATCAGGAACAAACCTGACAGTAAGTGTAAAAGATTAATGACTGCTGTGTTATTTGAATTGAGCTGACAATACTTAATTAAATGAATAATTAGTGTTCATTTGTTGAAACAGTTAAATGCTATTTTGCTCGTGTACTCTTTTTCTTTGCAACAGA